CGTAGCGTTTTTTCTTTTTTTTTTTTTCTTTGAAGAACCAAAACGTTTCCTGATATCGTTCGTTCTTTATTTTTCAAGGCTGTTACCCGTAAGTTTCACCAAACAAAACACGCGGTAACAGATAACAACAAAGATACAGCCAATGGGAGTGCTTCCCTCACGAATGCACAAAATGGCGGTGCAAGCCACGATCGCGTAATTTTTCACAATGACACGGTCGAAAAAGGCGATGTACCAGATGCACAAGATGGCGGTGCGAGCCACGATCGTGTGATTTTACAATGAACACGGTCGAAAAAGGCGATGCACCGATCACGTGCTGCGTGCACTAGCCACGACGAAATAAAAGAGTCTAAAGGCGACACGCACTGACTGAGATGCTAATACGAAAGTTCTGTCCGTCACTTCACTACGAATATCTTCGATTTTCCACACACGTAGATCTTCGATATCGTAGATCATCCGGTTATCCCACTTCTGAACTGTAAAATAGCTCATTGAGTATGCACGAGGTGGTTGTCAGGATCCGAAGGAGATTGAACTTCACAATGAGGGACGGAGGGATGACAGAGTGCAGTATACAATGTTAGAAAGAGAGAGACTCATTCAACTAAAGAAAGAAAATAATATAGAGTTCTCTCTTACAATATAAAGGAGTGCAAAGAGGCCACAAGGCTTTTTCGGCTCTTGTTAGTAGAGAGAAAAGTATTGAGATATAAGTGCGAGTGTTTCACAGCGTAAAGGACTTTGCTTAGGGAAAGCTCCGTTGATCTCAGAGGCAATAAAAGACTTTTGCCAATCAATTGTTAACTAACTGGTCAATTTTCCAAGAAGGACTTTGGAAAAGGGCTGGCCAGCTACGAGTTAAAAGAAATACATATATTTCTACAAAAGATAAGTTTAGTGGATAAGACATTTATCATATCTGTACGAAATTGGGTTGTTCATAACGGACATTCACATATTGTTCATCATTAAATATATTAATTGTTAATTGCTAATCATTTAATTAAATTTCCTGACAAACAATATAAGAACGATCTTACAATGGTTTTCGACTGATTGTCGATTAACAAAATATATATTTAATCTATGAACTAAGGCTGTATTTACATTCTTAACCTATCGTTATTCGTAATGCTAAGATTAAATTATATAATATCGCGTTTTGACGAGATTTCGTCAGGGCGCGATTTTTGGTTTGGCGGACGTCTTGTAAAGTTAATTAAAATAACAAAAAATGTCTTTCCGGTTTTACGGTTACAATAATACATGTAAAATAAAAATAAATTGAGTGTTGTCACTCACGTTCACCGTTTTAGTTATCGGGGCTGCTTCTCACCTACTGTGAGGTGAAGTACCTCGATCGTCCAGTTTTCGCCCTGATGCTGCTGCTCCGTATCGGCTACTCCCTGGTTCTGCTTTCCGTCTCGCGATCTGCTGTTGCCAGTCGCACTATCAGGACGTAACAGTGGTATTAAAATGTGCAAAAAGTTTTAAAACGATAAACATTATTTTTCCTTTTAAAAAAAATTACGAAAAATTTTTTTTTGGTCTTATAAAGTAGATTCCCCCCTTAAGGTCCAAAACGCTAAAACCATTATTGAACGAGTTCTCGCTATTTTTCGTCTTCTAAGTCGAGAATTTCAAATTTAATTTTCGTAGTATTTTGAGCAGAACTATTTTTGAAACTTATCTAGAACTACAGAACTATTTAAAATTTACTCAAAACTGTAAAAAAATTTGGATTTTTTACATAATGGGAGGCGTCGTGAAGTTAGCTCCCCGATTTTTCAAATGGTGTTTTCTTTACTTTAAATGGTAGAACTCTTTTTAAAATAAACTGGAATTTTAGAACTTCTCGGAGGGCATCCAGAACTCTAATCACTTTTTTCAATTTTAAAAAATGGGGGGGCCAACTTCACAGAGGTAACAAAATGTCCGCAAAATCTCTTCGGCAGAGATAATTGTAGAAGACGATATGATGAATCTCAAAGTCCAGATATTGATAAATCTGAATGGGTATATGAAACACTTGATTTAGATAATGATGAAATAAGATAATACTTTTCGAATACATAAATATTTAAAAAATTTTAATTACTAATTTATTAATACATTTATAGACAAGAAACACAGTCAATTTTAATGATGTAAAAAATTATGCAAAATATACAAAAAAAGGCGATTATCTTCCGAAGAAATTCCTAACGCACATCTAAAAAAAGTAAAAACATGTGACATTAATGATAATATTGTAAGATAACATCTATTAACTTTACAATAACGTTTAGTTTTTATATGAATTTATAACTAAATATGCAGCTGCATGTTGCAAATTATATATTTTTTCTTAAAAGCAACAATGTGTTTTCTTTATATTAATTGATTCGTCTCATTATTTTATGCATAAAATTATTAAGGTAAGATTCCTGAAAATTGAATGTTTTACAAGATATTTTGTATTTTATGTCAAAATGCTGTAACTTTCAAGCCTCATAACTGGAAAAGTACTTAATAAAAAATAACTTTATTATAGTGTTTCGGAAACGTTTTGACACCAGCTTTAAGAATATGTAATAGAAATTAGGAGTTTCCATTTAAGATTTCAAAGTTGACCTTCGCGGTGTCCTTCAAGGTCACATGAAGGTCATTTCAATATAACCATATAATAAACCACTTAATATATTAAAACTTTTGTATTAAACATTTTCTTTCATAATCATTATTTTCCAAGATATTTGACCGTTACGGAACTTTCTCCCATCACTGTATAAGATTACCGCTTTTTGATTACCTAACCTTTCTCGAATCGACAA